GGCGAACAATGTAATCTATTTGGGACCTTTATTTCTTTTATTTGAGATTCTTGTTCTTTTATATTTTGTGTAAATTTTAGTTATTTTTTTAATGCTTTGAATTTTCAGATCAATTATTCAATGATTTCGTGAACAATAATTACATAGAGATGCGGATTCTTGTTTAAACCACATATTATAATTCGGTAAATTAATATAACGTATAGAGATATCTATATTAATTGCTACGGTCCTATAGAAATTCTTAGTAATTAAATTTAATTTGCATAGATATATAGAATCGAATTAATTAAATAGGTTCAACGAGAACTCGAGAGAGATAAGTTGAATACAATAGAAGAATTCGTTCGAACACTATGGGGCCGTTTGAGCCCCATTATTTGTAGACTATAATGAGATGAATAATGTTTTTTTTGAAAAATGAGTAGTGAAAAATTTTTGATTTACATGTAATATTATTTTATTGAAGATTGTGTGGTTAAAAGTAGGAGAGAGAAAATTTTAATTTAATGTAATGANATATATATATATATCAATAAATTTCAGCCCTTGAATCCTTCAATCTTGCAACTTATATATTCTTTTATTCAATTCAAGTCTTTCATTTCCAAAATATGAAATTTGATCTCCAAATTCTTCAATTTTCAATTCATGGTCCGAATCAACTATTGAATTGTTACAACGTGGTCCCAAACTTTTGCGTTCCGCTCTTTTTCCGGATTTTCCTCTCGTTTCATCCACTTTCATGTACCAATATTGACTTCTACCTATTCACCATCAATTGCAACAATTTAGACCTTAATTTATCAGAGAATATTAAATATTATCGTTTTAAGGCCTCGAATAAGTGTATAAAATACACTTATCACTAAGCTCAGTTATAAATGGGTTCATTGTTTTATTCTATTGTGTTACTGTATTTTCACTACAGTATGGACAACCATGGTTTGTAAAAGTGGAAATGAGGCACACTTCTCAAGGTGCATGAGGTGTTCACCAAAGATTTGCAGTGACATTCAAATTTATTTTTTTTCCCTTTTTCTAAACATGAATTCCGGATGAAATATCCTTTTAATTGGGCCATTCTTGTTCTCATATGAAAAAAATGGGCCCATCAACTCTTTGCTACACAACCCACTAACCTATCACAAGCCTCACAACTCTCCCAAGACACCAGAAGATTCTTCCACAAGATTGAAGGAGGCAACCGAAGGTTTTGAAACTCTTGCAGGACTCTTTTTTTCCCCTTTTTTTTTTTTTGGCATCTCTCCCTCTCTCTCTCTCTCTCTCTGATTCTAAATTTTTTTATTTCTCAAATTCTTCTTACTTTTGTATTATATTATAATTTTTTGGTTTGTTGTGAGGGACACCTCAAGGCATCAGTACCCATTTCTGCATTTTTAAACATTGTGGACAATAGTTGATTGGTGCAGGTATGTGTCTATATAACAGGTTGCTCAAACCTTAAAATTTTAAATAATGGACCAGGCAAAACATGAAATTCATTTATCATCTTTCATTATGTCTACAACAAGACGTCGTCTGAAAAAATATAAATGTTAAAAATGCATTTCCCAATATATGAAAAAAGAACTATAGAACCAAATAAATAACGTTGATATACTCTTTAAATTGATGAAAACTGTAACAAACCATTCAAATAACCTTCTCCAAATTGTCAAGTGTCTCAACATGAGTACTTCATGCATTTAGTAAACTTTTGTAATATGTGATAAAAATGAAAGACTGAAGAAAAAGTTCTATTCTTGTATGATTGACCGTGTTTTGAATAAAGCAAAATTTCACAAATCTCAATCATCAAATGCAGAAGTGGACTGATACCAAGGCTCTTCAGGCATAAACGTGAATCAAGAGAAGAACACTTCATTGAAGTGAAGCACCCATTGTATTTTGAGTGATACTTCAGTTGCATTTATTCAGGGAAATTCAGAACTTCCATTACATGTCAGTAATTTCCAGCAAGTATTGGTTAATCTTGCCACTATGTCGAGCAAAATCAGTTGAAGTAATAGTACAGCAACTAATCCAATTGCAGCAACCAAATATTACAAAATAGAACATGGCCACCATTCATGTTAAAAAGGAAAGCGCAAAATTTAAATGTACACTTCGAACATTTTGCAGGCCAAATTTATAGCATTTTACTCAAGGTCCTGTCATTCTGCACCAGAAAAATGTCAATGCCAGTTGTGCTTTGCTCTTAGGGTCACTTTTAACAACAATATACATGGCATGTTAATGGTAAGATATGTACTGAAGGCCAAGAAATATGTGCTCATTTAAATCATTAAAGCCCGCCTGGAAATCTATTATTATATAAAAACACCTCTACTGGAAAAGATTCGGTCTTCTCCTTTTGCTTTGTTCCATCTACAACAATATTTATTACACACTGGTACAAGAAGAAATACCAAAAACTCATTTTCCAGAAACTAAAAGGCCTTTTCCCAATATCAAGACCTTTAATCAACTAAGGTGCATCACCAGAATACAAAATGCAATTGACAAAGTAATACCTATCTGCATAATGTATAAGGACAGCAATTTAATTATATAAAATTTACCCACAAGAATAATACTAGTGTTTAACAACAGAAAAATTGTGTCCTCGTACCTATATTCCGAGCTGGAGGAGTTAAAAACACGCTTTCTGGACAACAAATCTGAGGGAAATGCACTTTCACTTGATTCCGGGGTCAAAATGGAAGTAAAATACTTTTTCCATATATCAAAAGATGACTGTGCACATAAAATGTTGATGAATTATTCAGAAACTTGACTCTAATGACAGAAAAACAAANTTTTCCATATATCAAAAGATGACTGTGCACATAAAATGTTGATGAATTATTCAGAAACTTGACTCTAATGACAGAAAAACAAACAAGGAATGCAATAAACGTTGGTTGTATTTTGAACATAAGTCATTTCTATCAATGAACATATTCAATGCGTGTAATATATCTTTTAATTAAAATCTACCTTTCCAGGAACAGAAGATTGCAGCGAAGACAAAGTATCTGCAGTAACATGACCATTCAAGGCTATCTACATTAGGAAAAAATAAATACAAATAGAAATTAAGATAAAACTATACTTTGCTAAAACACCGAAACTTAATTATAAAGTACAAACGTAAAAAAAGGTACCTACAAGTCCTTATAATAAAAATCATGCGCAGTCAAAAAGTTAAACATAAAAAACAAGCAATAAATAAGGATTTTTTCTTGAGAAAAGGAAAGATGAAAAAAAAAATTACCGTACCATTAGAAATATAAAACGATCTAAGCGAGGAATAATCACAAGAACCAAAGGCGCGAAAAAACCTTCTGGAAACTGACAACGCCATTGCAAATGCCACCAATATAATAATACGTATCAAAACCCTGAGAAAAAACCCCAGCCAAAGTCAAATTGAAATCACATGCCCCCTTGTTGGTTGAGCTTCATAATGAAAAAGGATAAAATTTGAGCTGAAAATCTGAGGGCTATATCTACACGGTTAAGCAATAACTTCGTTCTTTGTGAGTGAGTAAACGGCGAAAGGTGATTTGGCTTACCAAAAAGAGAGATCGGAATCGGGAAGAGAAAATGAAGAATTATTTTGCTGCTGACGCTACACTGAAACCCTGACATAAACCCTTTGCCGCCGTGGTCCAATAATGTAGTTAATTTCACAAATAGTCACTAAAGTTTGTGAAACATTATAAGTTAATCCTTAAAGTATTTTTATGTTATCAGTAAAGTTCATTAACAAGTACTTTGTTGACTCATTTAGTCACTAAATTTAACTAACATTACACCATCGGTCACTTTATTAGAGGAGCACTTGCTACTTTATCTAAACAAAATGTTTAGTGAACGTTAATCAATTTTTAAAGATTAAATAATTTTCAAAAAATATTTTAAAAACCAATGATATAATGTTAATTAAATTTTCAACAACTAAAAGATTAGAAAAATACTTTTAACGATCAACTTGTGAAATTAACTAATTAAAATTTGCTACATATTAGATATACATTTATTGACTATTAAAATGACGATTATCTCTTTTCTGAAAATTATAAAAACTTCTTTAATTTTTACTTATCATAACATGATCAGTTCATATTGTTATAAAATAATAGATAACGATGAATGATTAGTTGATATATTATTTCAAGTTATAACTCTCATTTAAGTCTCTACATATAGATCCCTATTAATTCTCTTTAAATATTATTTTTTGTTTATATCTTTATCGACGCAAAATTTGAGTAAACTAAACTAGGAAAATAATTTATTTATTTATTTTTTGGGTTCAAAATTATAAAAAAATAATGAATTAATGCTCCATTATAAGCTCCTGTGAAGAATGTTTCGATACTGTCGCTATTAAAGTACAAATTCATATGGATAGAGTGAAAATTAGTGTTGAAGTTGCTAAAAAAACATAACTAGAAATCAGAACTTTATATAAATCAATCTTTTCGAAAATTATTAATCTCGAAAATTAACTTGTACAAGTTCTAATTCTGATAAATATATTAATGTTCTTGAAAAAGCGTAACTTATATTCCATTATTTAAAAAAACAAAAAACAAAAAAAAACAAAAAACAAAAATTGGAACTCCAATCTTGAGAGCTCACACAGTCCCAACACTGGAGCATCATGAGGGAGGTAAATCACGAAATATACCTCAACAGGTCAGAAAACAAAATCTTGTCCGTACACTAGTACTCACAAAGAGTCCAATTCTATATCTCAAAAATCAAGCCCTCACACTGCCGCTACCAGCAAGGCTGAAACTACCACACTCCTGTCCTTTGTAACACTTGATCATGCCCCGGGGGACTTATATTCCATTATTTTAGAAGATTGGGCGGTGGTGTCGTAGCACAAGTTTGAACTAGCCAATATACTTCTCTCTTCTAGCTAGATTTCCAAAAACAAGCTACTCAACCAAAAACATTTCATCACCAACAACCAAGCTCTATATGTCTCCACGGGAGGAAAACTAATGCAATTTCATTTATACATTGAACAACGGAAAGTTTGAGTTTTGGTACAGTCAAGTATTTGCATTTTATTCATAAACATGACATTCAAGTGATCTTCATTCACCAAGGAACTAGAATGATGCATAAGAATGTCAAACTCATTATTAGGTAATGAACTCCATACCCATCAGATAACCCGTTAAGAGAGCACCTAGATGAAAGAGAGATATGGAGAACCAAATCCACGGATACCAAGCTGCGCCATAATGCAAACCAAGAAAAGAATCCCAAAAATCATTCTGAAACCAAAATACAATCTGGCAAATTCAACTCTAAAAATAGTTCCACAAAATTCATCCCAACATTCTACCACCTCACTACCAAAATGCTGATTCAAACTGGAAGGGCCACATCTGCTTTATAAACGCCAAAATACCTCAAGAAGCAAGGTTGTCATTGAGGGACAGTGAAGCAAGTTGATCCGCTGGGCTATTAGCCTGTTGAACATTCCCCAGGACCTCCATAGCTTCGGCCACCTTTGCTTTCAAAGCATCTGGTGATTCAAGCAAGTGTAAAACCTCTGTCTGGTCCATCTCCAGAAGCATGCCTGTAACTTTTGCAGCATGTTCATGCTCCAGTTGATCAACAAGAGGATACAGATTCTCACCCAACATCTGCAATCCAATTTAAAAAATGTTCAGGATTATTATTATCAATAATCTAATGCAATGACAGCTACAAATATAAATTCATGTAGCAGAATGCATACCGTCCTCTGTTGTTCAGGCGTTGAATTTGCCAGAGCAGAAGCCAGAGCTGTAATTGGCATAGGCTGGGGTATAGCAGCATCTCGTGGAAGCATACCACCCATGTCATAAGGAGAAGAAAGCATGCCTCCAGCGACACCAGGCATTGGCACTTCCTGCACATTTCGACTGGGAGGATATCGATACATCCGTCCCCCCCTCGGCAGCATCTGAAGGTGAAACATTAAGCAGCATAATTTTATAGTTCAAACACATTAACAAAATTTTAAACACATATACTGAATTTATGTATCAATTAACCTGCTGTGGCATCATCGGCAAAGGCTGCTGAGTCTGTTGCATAGGACTTGCCCCTCTTCTACCAGGGCGTTGGCCCTGATGGACGGGTGGCAAAAAACACCTGATATAACCCATGTCATTCCATGTGGGCCTTGTATTAAGTATTGACAAGGTCAGTTCCTTTCGTTTCTCGCTCCACTGAAGTATACCATGATTGATATAATAATACAGTACACTAAAGAACAGAAATTTTAATTACTGTTCAATAAATAAATTACTTCGCTAGAGACACCTCAGCACCAATAATTCCCATATACATAGCCCCCTGTTCGACAACCATTAAAACAACTCTATTTTTCTCAAACTCATTTTCAACCACACATTCTTACAATAAAATATTTTGCACACAAATCCAAATTTTTTCCTTAAATTTGAAGGACACATTCTCCAAAAAATCACTATTCCAAAACTCATTTTTTCCAAAAAACTAATTTTAATGTTTGTCAAACAGGGGCATAGTATCAAACCCCAAAATCATAGCACCTCAAGATTAAGAACAAGCCTTAAGATTTTTCAGTCAACAATACAACACCGTGTAACTTGCCAACAGAGAAGGTATCTAGCAAACAATTTTATTTAACATTTTTTTGTACACAGAGCAGGGAGAGAGGGAGGCCAGAAGAGCAACGGAAGTAGTAAATATACTGGCGATCACAGAAAAAAATTGAACAGAAAAAGTTTTACACAGGGAACAAGAATTACCTGAGGAATAATAGCAGGGGGAGCTTGCCCATAAAATAGTTGCTGCCCAATACCAGGTGCACCAGGAGGATAGATTGGCATACGAGGAGCAATTGATGGTGGCATTGCAACTGGCCTCATTTGGGCAAACTGTGCCTACAATTGGACCATATAAATCACTTTCGGTGTACAAGCAAATGTCAAACACAAGAAATGTTTATAGTTCTTAGAAGCAAAGCACTAAACAATCCCTAGCATGAACCACCAAAAATGCACACCAATGTAAAGCAAGAAGTGACAGAAGGAGAAATGCCTCAAAAGAACTTTCGCTTTAGCCCACGTGCCTCTAACGAAAAAAGGAGAAATTCATCTCACACTATCTTTACCTGTAACCTTGCCTTTCTCTCTTCTTTCCTCTGTGCAAATGCTACATAGAGCGGCTTACTGATCACCATTTTCCCATTCATCTCAGAAAGCTAAAATATAAAAAATAGATCAAATTTCAATTAATTTGTCTTAATAAAGATTCCATGGAAACAAAAGTATCGCTATGGTGTCAGCTTACTGCTCGAGAAGCTTCTTCAGGAGCTGTGAATGCAACAAATCCAGATCCTCTGCTCACTCCGCTGGGATCTCGCATAACCTGCGAACATTGAAAACAAAGAAAATCAAAAGAGCTGAAAAAATACTGATCCCATGAGTGAAAAGTGAAAAGAGAAGTAATCACAGAAATAATAAGCTTGATTCCAAAATCTTCAAGCACACATAAATATACCTTGCATGATACAATGGTACCAAACTCCGAAAACAGTTCCTTGAGTTTGTCATCATCTATGCTATCATCCAAATTCTTAACATACAAATTAACTCCTTGATATTTGTCAACAGCTTCCTTTGTGTTCTTCTCAAATCGACTTTTCAGTTCTTGTTCTCTCTCAGATTTCTTCTGAGCTTTCCCAACGTACCACTCCTCATCACCAAATTTATTACCATTTAGAGCTTCAACAGCTTGAGCGGCATCATCAGCATTCTCCATGTTGACAAAGCCAAAGCATTTTGACTTCCCATCAGCATCCCTCATCACTACAGCACTGGTGATTGCTCCATACTCACCAAAAATTTTCTTCAGATCATCATCTGTAGTCGACTCTGCAAGATTTTTCACGTAGATATTGTTGAATTTGGTCTTATTCTGCGTTGATTCTCTCTCCTGCTTACGGAGGAAATGCCCAACATACACCTGCTTATCATTAATAAGCATGCCATTCAACTTGTCTATAGCATTTTGTGCAGAATCTTCATTATCAAATTGTACAAACCCATAGCCCCTAGATTGCCCAGCAGGATCTGTGGATATTTTGCAAGAAAGTATGTTCCCAAAGCTTGAAAAAGTATCATGTAGTGCTTTGTTATCAATTGACTTGTCCAAATTCTGCACAGGAAATTTCAATAAATTTGTAACACTACATAAAAATACAAAGCACACATCCACCAAATGCAAAATAGTAAATCAGATTTTTATTTTTTTTTAAATAATGAACAGAACACCTCCAACCTGAAGAATTCAGACCATATACATAGCTGAAACTATGTGGAAACAACAAACAAATCAAAGTACTCCTGAACCACCAATTGCAATAATACATAAAATGTGCTAGTACAAATACCTAGGCAAAATAATGGCAGGCAGCAAGGTATATTATCCTATGTGCCAAACATGGAGTTTAAACAACCCTTAGCAGTTTCTTGGCAACGAAAAGGATTATATAGATAAAAATTCACCAAAATGAATTCCGTGCAACCAACCTAATAGATCGGCTGGAATGAAATGATTGACACAATAGAATGATGTAAACAAAAAGAGACATATCATGCCACAGTGAAAGAAAATAATAAGCCAATTCATAAAGGAACTAGCTTCCAATCAGTCAAGTCAGATAAAACCAAAGAAGCAAAGCAGCTTAGCACAAATACCTTTATAAATATGTTTGCAGCTCCACTTTTTCGAATAGTTGGGTCTCGATGAGAAAACATTATTCGGATCGACTTGTTATTCAAAGAAGTGAAGTTCAGCACTTCCATTGCCCTCGCCGCTATAATCAGGGAAAACAGGAGACATATCAGATATTACAAAATTTAGCCTTTTCCTTTTATCCAGTAGGAAATACAGGACAAGGTTATGTGCCATCTTAGAGCAACAAGGACAAAACATCACGTCTTCCACACCTTTGTCAATGCTATAAATTACAGAAGTGTACAAGCAAACATAAAATAGAGAACCAAAATAATCTCAAAAATCAACTTAAATGCTCTCTGATGTTTAAAAAAGGCCAGATCAGGTTTCAAGGTTCTTCAGAAGTGTATAAGCAAACAAAAAATAGAGAACCAGAATAATCTCAAAAGTCAACTTAACTGCTCTCTGGTGTTTAAAAGGGCTAGATCAGGTTTCAAGGTTTTTTTGGCCTCGAGCCTAGCCACACTGTTACTACTATAAGGTGTAACACTCCACCTAAACCAATAAAACAACTTAAAAAGTTCAAAATACTAAATTACACACATAATAAGTCATAAACCATCTCAAAAATTCTTAGTAAACCATTTTAACCAAATCAAAAGTCTAAATTGCAAATCAAAACATAAAATATGTTGTAATGGATAGTAAATTAAAAGGTCATAATCACATAAAATGACAACTAATCCACTTATCAAATAAAAGGCCAACAACAAAAGAAGGAATTAAACAATCATTTAGGGATTTTACTCGCTCTAGCTTTAAGAAGAAAGAAAATTCAGAGAACCAGAAAACCTCCTTACATATTCTAGGCTATGAAAAAATGCCCAAGAAGTCGAGGCCAACAACAAAAAGCGCAGTAAGTGACACAAAGGAGCACACACAGCGGTCACAACAATGTTTATGCCTTGAGATATGTGCCCAAGTCTAGACTTGGCACTCTTGATGAAGTACTAGTGAGCTAAGCCTCAAGGTTTAGGCATTTCTAAAGCACTGAACTCCCACAATTTAAAACAGCCTATAAATTTTAAAATCACCCAAAATAGGCTCCTCTTTTCATCATAAGAGCTCTCTCAACAGGAAAAAAGAAAACATGGACTTCGATTGGGTAATAACAGTGACTGCCAAACATTTTCTTTATTGTTTCTTTTACACCGTCATTTTTCTGTGACTATGGGCCGTATAAAGGTTCAGGCAATCATTGATTTCATATGCCAAGCCAACTTTCCTTGTTTAGTTGATATGTAATGGCACATATAAAATCGAACTGCTTGTGGTCACCTTGATAAAAGTCAATCAAGCTAAACGTAAGTATAAAGGACTAGGCCTTGAGAAGCTTTCAATTGTTGTTAGTTCCAGCTAACAGAAGGGGGTTATTTTACTCCTAGAGCCAAAACCCAAACTGATTCGGCCAAATATGCGTTATTTTCAAATGGCACATACACTCATGATTACATTATTCCAAATGCATAATAGGATCTGTCATCCTTTCTACACATCACGCTTTCTATCACTTCATATACCTCACTCTCAAGGGTACCCAAAAAGTTATTAAGCCCAAAACATCCCCATTTCCTAAAACTCGTTTTTCTTCACGCTCATTTTCAACCCCCCCCCTTTTCAATTTTACCCTTTTAGTAATGACGAGAAATTATAACAATAAACTCCAGGATGGATAATTTAGCCCATTGAAAACTTTGAACTCATTTTTACCTTTGTCTCAGGGACAAAAATCGCAGTCCAACAATAGCTTAAAAGATCATCAATTTCTAATTCACAACAACACGATAAACTAAGAATAAGCACCTACGTAGCCAAAACCACGACGTTTCACTATGGTACTCGCTTGCAACTACATCAACATTCAAATCGTCCAAAACTGACAAGAAACAAGCAGAAAAAACAAAATAATCAAAGAATCAATGATATTAAACAAGGACTAACCATCCTGCTGGCTGCTATAGTTGACATAACCATAGCCAAGGCTGCGCCGAGTGCTCAGGTCCCGACACACCCTAACAGAAACAACCTGACCAACCTGGTTGAACAGATCGTACAGCTGAGAGTCCGTAACACTAAAATCCAAGTCCCCGACATACAAAGAAGTCGAGGGAAATTGGCTAGTCCCTCCACCTGGCGCCGCAGTGGCCGCAGGCACTCCGTTCGGTCCAACGGATGCCACCAATACATTCTGATGCTGCATCTGAATCTGCGCCATTCCTTCCCAAGAAGCAAATTTGATTTTTATTCCTTTTTTGATATTTTTCCCTCTCCTCTTTGTTATAAATAGTTGGAACCCTAGAGAGGTAAATCAGAAAAGAGTAAACAAAGAGAATTGAAAAGGGAAAAAATTTTATTTTGGCATAACAACGAGGAGAGGGAATGGTAAAATAGAGAGAGAAACTGGAGAGGTCAAAATAGGTTTCGGAGGGCAGAAACTGCACCGCAGTCGGAGAAGAAAGAAACTGTAGAGTTTATATATGGATTGAAAAAGATCAAGAAACCCTAATTTGTGACGAGATGACACGTGTAAATTTGCACCAGCGTGTGACAACGTGGTCAGATACTAAGAGCTACATGTGTAAGAATGCACAGCGGTTGAGAGATAAGTCATGAAAGGACTATGATTGGAATGGCTATTCAATAGTGTTTTTCCAAAATAAATTTACGTTTAAAAATTGGAGAAAATTTTGAATTTATCTTTTAAAATTATTTAAATAAAAAAATGTGTAATTTAAAATGAATTTACAAAAATAAAGCCAATCAGGTAGTAAATTTGATCTGTTTCATTATTTAGCCCTTGTTTCTTTTTCATTCTTTCCCCATTAAAATAAAAAATATGATCGTTCTCTATTATATCAAACCACAATATTTAAATTTATATTTCTTATATGGGGCCCGTAACTATTATATTTTTCATTCTCATTCTTCCATAAATGGAAAATAAACAGGGCTTTCCATCATTTATTTTTGCCTAGACAAAGAGAGGATGGGGACAACCTAGTACTATTCCAAGCCCATTTAAATTTTTTATAGATGCTATGTATCAATTCAGTATAAAAGAATTTATGTCCTGGACTCGACTTGTCTATGTCTTTTCTTCACTATTCTATGTTCGAGAGCCCTCAAGCAACATTTTGTGAAGCTCCCAAGCAGCATGGTGGGAGATGTAGTCGCATGAGAGGAAAGGGGTGGCCTAGAGGACAATAATTGAGTTTAAGTGGAGTTTTGACACCTCTAGCATTTTGATATTTTAAAATTATAGTGAAGAGATAAGATTTTATTGAAGCGACAACAAGAATTAGACAAAGAATCTTGACTTGTGCTAGAATGTAAAACAAAGTTGTTTGAAAGTACTAGAATCATGTGCTAAGCAAAACAAAAATGAATCAATCACGTTACACACAGGATGAATGACGGGATTAAAAAGGGAGACATGTGGTGCAGTGTCATTGAAGAGTTAAAAAAAAAAAAAAAATTATCCACACAAGTATTGACAACTCAACACTTGTCAAAGCACATGTTTGCGATCCTTGTTTGAATAGCATTATAGCATTATTAAAAATAAATATGGGCTGAAACCCAATCACACAGGACAGATGCAAGTCCAATCATACCAACGTTTGCTAATTGGATTTTAGATCCAATAGCATCTCCAGTTAATTGAGTAGCTTTCTAATTAAATTGGTTTTGTTGTTAGGAACATTAACTAATAACAGTTCATTGTTTTTGTTGGGATATTACACCGATAATGTGCATACATTATATTTTCAAAACATGCCTTTTACGTGCACAAAATCGAACATAATATCGACTTACCAAAACGAGATTTGAGAAGGCTAAATGATAATTATCGAAGTCGAATATGTGACGACAAATTCAGTCATTTCCATTCTTCAAATAAAAGTTATTACATTCTTGAATTCAAACCTTACATGAAAATCAAAAGCATGTTAGTTAATTTCCGAAATCAAATACTAAATTATAAAGAAATCAAAATGAAGAAAGAGGAGATGCAAGTGATGTGATTAACTGAGGCAAGTGTTTGACACTTTATCTTTAAGATGAATTTGCCCAGGATCGGTGCTAACCGTTTCCTGACAATCATCTCTCAAGATGTGTCAAATCATAGGAGCACTCCAAATGGCTTAAATCAACGAACTCGAACAAAATTTTCTCTTTACCAAACTATAAATTTTATACAAAGAGAACCACTTTTGATGAAGTGTTTTATGCAACATAAAATGAAATGAATGATATGGATTACCTTATGGACGTCCAAAGGGTTTTATTTATAGAGGATAAAGGGTTGTGGGTGAAGTATTGCATATTAGACCTCACAACCTTACGAATAGAAGCATGACTTCTTGTCGCTGTCCTCTCGCTTGAGTGCCAGTGTCAAAATATTAACAAAAACATTTTTGTCCAGCTGTCATTAGCCCATCACTCAAGTGATAGCCCTGTCGCTTGAGCGATAGGCCAGTGAAGCGATGGAGTTAGACAAAAATCCAGGTAGTTTTTCCTATGTTTTCTTCCAAGTTTGGATCGCAAATTCTTATTCATCCGAAATTGGTTTTGAGATTTCAAATATATCGCGACAATCTACTCGACAAGTAAAACAAGTTGATCTATCTACATTTTTAATTTGACCATCGAATCAAGTCCGAATATTTGATCAAAGTTGATATAAGCCACTTTCCATTTTTATACTTAAACCAAATTTTCTTAATTTTAAACCAATTTTCAATAATTCCCCACATGAAGGGAAATTCGAATATGCATATGCAATGCAAAAGTTTACGATGCATTGTAGAAAGAGGATAAAAAACACTGCATCAGGTAAGGTAGCTTCTACCTTTCGGCTTTAAACCTTCCTTAGTGAAATACTATCATACTTACATGGCTAAGTGGTGAATGTGATGTCTTGAATCATTCGATATTTAGTGTAAGCCAAGAAAACAATAATCATACAGATATCTTCTCTAATTCGTTCATAGTTCTCATGATTTGGTTCATTTTGACACTGAACCGCTCTTGGGTTTCATAAATCTTTAGAGAATTTTAGCCTCGAACAATTCTCATTTGATCAGCAATTTCGGTCAATTTGGTCGACAGTGTCACCTCGAGATTTGTCAATGATGGTCTCAACTTCCATAGTGTCCTCTTCCAATAGGAAACAATAGAAGGGAAAAGGAGAAAGGGCCTCCATAATTCGTAGAGAATCATTGGAAAAACCCAAGTTTGTTGCAGAAAAAAGATAAGGTAAGAAGACAGGGGCAATGGGGAAAGTTATTTGTTTTTATGTGAATGAATTGGAATGGATTCAAAGTGAGGCGATGGTTGGCCATTTGAGGTGGTGGTAGTGATGGTTTTTATTATTGGTTGATGAGGTTGGTCAATGTAGAGGCATTGAATGTGTCGTTTGGTTTTACTTTGGCTTTTGGGGTTGGGGTTAAGTGGCGATTGTAATTTATTTGGGTGGTGGAAGTGTTTGGGTAGTTATTGCAGTGCGATGGCAGTGGTCGGTGGCATGTGGTCAATGACAACGATCGGTAATCTTTACTTTTTCTAGTTTTAGGGTGAGGGATTTGGGTGGTAATTTCTTTTCTTTTATTTCTTCTTTTTTTTTTTTAGTTTCTAATTTTTTGAAAATTTAGGACTATAATTTCAATTAATTTTCTCTTTTTTTTCTTTTTATTTTATTTAAATAGGAGAATATATTCATAATTTCACAGCTTTTAATTGAGAAAATTGATAAAAATGACGATTTCTTCAATAAAATGTAAAAATAATGGTGAAAACAAAATGAAAGGTATGGACGTTTTGAGTAATAATATTAAAAAGTAGGAAAGTTTTTTGCGCTAATTACCCTTTAGAGAAATGCGCATTATTTCATTTTTCTCAAAAAAATTTCTAATCAGAAAAAATATTTTAAATTTTTTTTTCTTATTCAATAGTAATTCTAAATCTCAAAAATACTTTTTAATATTCCAAAAGCCTTGTCAAATGGGATAATTTTGAATTTGTGTTCTTGACATGAAAATAAATCTTTAACAAACACACCTATTTTTGCTGCTTAAACACGGTTCGCTTTCGTTGCTTCACTTCAGCAATGGGCCAATATTACAACTTCAAAGTCTTAATAATTTTCCCCAGTTTAATTTTGATAAAAATAATATTGTTAACAGATTTTAATAAAAGTTGATGAATTGTGTAGTTGAAAAGTTGTGAATTGATTAAATTAATTATTAAATTTAATTTAAATTCTAATTAATTTTTTCTAGCGGAACCAAACTTCGGTTTTCCCTATTATATAAAAGGAAGAATGTAAAGTTACTGTAGAAATCAATAGTGACTTGTTCTATTTTGTCTCACTGTAGTATTTTTTTTTCAAATAGGGGAGTAAAAATGACGCTATTTGTCTTGGTGTATATTTTATTATACAGTGTACATCTAAATTTATTGCAACACACAACTTTCCATACTTCCACCAAGTCTCATAAATATGAGAAAAAATTCAATTTTATGTTAAAAAAATATTAAAAAATAAAAATACTAATAATAATAATAAGATAAAAAAATATTGCTAGAGCTTAAAGATTTACTTATAGATAAAAAATTGCTAACTGAGTTAAAAAAACTTATAATTGTAAAAGCTACTTATATATTATATAAATAAATTGTTGTGGTTACTTAGATAATAGCTAAGATAAAAAATATATATATATTGCTAGAATTTAAAAAGTTACTTATAGAAAAAAATTGCTTCAAGTTTTTAAAAGTAAAAAAACTTATAATTGTAAAAGCTACTTATATTATAAGTAAAAAAATATTAACTTAAAGTTTTAATTATATTTCTAAAATATAAAGAGTTACTTATAAGTAAAAAAATCTGCTTCTGGTTATTTAAAAGTAAAAAAAGAAAAAGAAAAAAAAAACTTATCATTGTAGTTAGTTATATATGTAAAAAGATATTAGCTTTAATAAATTAAAAAAAAAAAGCACAAAACTTTAATTTTTCAATTTTAACTAAATAATATTTATGTTTTCTTTATTTAATTTTCGTAATTTTCTTTTATTTTGTTTTTATTATATTTTTTTGAAATTTTTTTTAAAATTTCTTTTTCTTAATATTATAAATTTTTTTTAATTTAAAATTATTTTTTATTCTTTTCATTTTAAACGCAATTTTTTCAATTTTAATTAAATAATATTTTTTTACTTTTAATTATTTCAATTTAATTTAAAAATTTTATAATAACTTTTTTTTGTTTCTTTTTTATTTTTGCCTGTAATTATTTTTGTTTAATTTGTTAAATCATTCAATTTCTTTTTTTTTTTATCAATTAGATTGGATAAGGTGAAGTAGTGTGTGAAAATAGAGAAATACTGCAATGGAGGTGACCGTGCACGGAGTCTCTTTTACAAATAGAATATCTCAAATTCCTCACTGATTACATTGGTCTTCATTTCTCTCCGCCACTAATTTTAACAAATAGTTATATAAACTAAAATCAAATATCATACAACGTAATGTAAAATACCAAAAAAACTACTCAAATTAAATATCTCAAATGATTCATAGCCATACGGCTCATGCCAGAAAATTCAAATAACATATATTGCAATTTCTATCTTGCGAATATAACATAACATATATTATAATCAAATAGCACATAGATTATAACTCTCAAAAGTTAGATAAAATACAATTTTTTCACTTTTTCTAATTTCAAGTGTTAATTTTCGATCTTAGCCAAGATAAACTTCATTGAATATTTTGAATTTTGATTTGACTCGGTCTTTCTCTCGTATTGACCTTTTAAAAAAAAATAAAAATTATTAGTAGCTTTAAATCAACATGTCCAACCTTTTTTTGACGTCACTATCCATGTAGCTTATAAGTGCTTGAAAAAACGAGTGATGTTCACCATTTCCTCAAATTCATTCCAGATCATATGAAACTTTTGGAATAAGAATTAAGGATCCAAATCATGCGCAATAGGGGCAAAGAATTAAGGATGCAAACTACGCGCAATACGGGAAAACCTGTGATTATCCTTGTATTACCATGAATTAACTTCTCCAAATAGTTTTCGTCGAAGAATTTTATTGCACAATTCATTTAAGATGAGTAGAAAATTATGCCACAGCATTGATACTATTGGTAAGGTGGTAAACTTTTGGAAGTTCGTGAGGAAGAATGTTATCATATAAATGTACCGTGAGAACATTTATAAATTAACATGAACATCCATATTGGTGCTAGTGCTAAAATCAAATTATTGTTCTGACTTCAGAGTTCCAACATCGTGCACCAATATTGACAATTTTTTGATATCTACACATTCCACATTAATAATAATATAATAAACACAATATTCATGTAACGTACAAGATGAAGACTAGTATATATAAATGATTTGTTTGCATAGGAATTATGACACCGACAAACTGCTAGTTGTAGCCCTTGCTTGGTTTAGGTACAAATGTGAATTAAAGTCAACAATTAGTTTTAATTATAAAATCCATAAATGTTTAAATACACATTTCAATAATTTAATCAAAATCTACTAAAATTTTGATTTTTATTTAAAACAAACATAGGCTTAATACTGTCTCCTTATTGGTATGATATTTTATCAAAGTCTTGAAAAATCAATGTTTACTCATTAATTACATAATTTTTTTAGAGAATGCACATGTCGTTGTGTGATTGGATAGTTTGAGGGGTTGGGATCACCACCTGTAATTGTTGTTGAATATTTGTTCAAAATCAATCGAATGATAATGGACTTATTGTTGGACTCAATTGTGGAATTGATTGAATCAAAAGAAATTGAAAAATGTAGTATTTGATTTTTTTGCCCATGCATACGCACATGCTTAATTTTGTGCGTACGCGAGATGTGTTTTAGCAAAATCAGAATTAAAATTTGCTTCTACTATGCATACGCACGATATATACTATGCATACGCATAGTAATAAAAAATAGTCGTTGACTGATTTTTCAATTTGAAACTTGGGAGCCATTTTGGATTAAAAGTTGTCACTTTTCATCTTGTTTTGGCATCATTTCGTGATGCATCGATTGAAACCTATTAATAGGTGATGAATGATCAATACAAACATTATTAGAATCATTGAAAATATCTTGAGATCCATAAATCATTCTATATTGAATTAAACTATTGATTTACATTCATATTCAAGATCTTCCTTTGTGTTTTTAAAGTTTTGGAGGATTGCACTTGTACTTTGGTGTTAAATCCTTTACAAGGCTTGATATAATCCTACAAATCGTTTGTCAAAACCCTTAAACATCTCATTCAATCCCGAGAGGGGGAAAATATAGTTTGAGGATAACGATCCCGTGTTCAAGCCTCAAATTCGTTCTTGACATATTTCGTAATTTCTATTCATTTTGTTTCTATAATTTTGTTGTTGTTTCTTCTCCAATCCCTTATTTTCCAACAATCTCAAATTATATTTTGCGATGGAGAATGATACAACTATGACAACCATCAAACTCATGAATCAAGATCTGGTTAGATTGGATCGTTTTTGACAGGACTAACTTCACGCGGTGGCAAGACAAGTTGAAATTCCCCCTAACGGCGTTGAAAATTTTTTATATTCTTGATCCAGATTTGGCGCCTTTGCCGGAAACCAACGAGTGGAGAATCCGAAGCAATCAAGACCGAGAGACAAAAATGTCAAGAAGATGAATTGATTTGTCGTGGCCACATCTTGAATGCATTGTTGGATCGTTTGTATGATCTATACACCAATACAATTTCGACGAAAGAAATTTGGGAAGTATTGGAAAGTAAGTACAATGCAGAAGAAGAAGGTACAAAGAAATTTTTGATTTCTAAGTATTTTGATTTTAAATTCTTAGAAAATATCCCTCTTCTTCCCCAAGTGCATGAGTTGCAAGTGATTGTCAACAAATTAAAGGCGGTAAAAATTGATATACGGGAGACCTTTCAAGTGGGGGCTATAATTGCCAAACTTCCGAAATTTGGAAAGGATACCGGAAGAAGATCATGCATAGTTTCGAAAATTATTCTTTGGAACAATTGCAAAAGCATCTTCAAATCGAAGAAGAGTCGAGAATACGTGATAAAACTGAAAATTCTCATAAGAGTTCTTCTAAAGCAAATGTTATGGAATAAATAGAACCGCCGGCAAAATCCAACAAAAGAAAGCCTTCTAGGAACTTTAACAAGTCCAAGAAAAAGACAAAATGAGGTTGTTTTGTGTGTGGAAAATCTGATCACTATGCCAAGAATTGTAGGCACTGAAAACAAAATAACTTCGAGGCCAAAGTGAATTCCATCCAAGATGACAAAATTGTGGCCACCATAAGTGAAGTAAACGCAATCAAAGAAAATGTTCCCGGGTGGTGGTATCATACTTGTGTGCTATGGTACATGTATTATATGATAAATCTTTGTTCAAAACTTATCAAGAAGTGGATGGAGATCAAGAGATTCAAATGGGTAACGAGATGCGGTCCAAGGTATTTGGAAAAGGAAGTGTAGCTATTATCTTCACTTCCGAGAAAACCGTTACTCTAACTAATATATTACATGTTCCGAATATGAATAGGAACCTAGTTAGTGGCATTCTCTTGGAAAAATCAGGTATCAAATGTGTTTATGAGTCCGACAAACTTGTACTATCCCTTAATGGGAAATTTGTTGGAAAAGGCTATTCGTGTGAATGAATTGTCAAATTATGTATCGTTGATAATGAAATGAATAAAAGTAATTTTACTTATATTGTGAATTTATTTTCATTATGACATGCTAGATTAGGTCATGTTGGTAGAAATACAATGAAACGCATAAAAAAATATGACTTGATCTCATATGCGAAAATTATGAACATAAATGCAAAATATGTATAGAATCTAAAATGATTAAAAAATCATATCAAAGTGTTAAGAGAACCTCTAATATTTTAGAATTAATTCATACTAATATATGTGAACTTAATGGTATGTTAACTAGAGGTGGAAATAAATATTTCATAACTTTTATAGATGACTTTTCTAGATATACATATGTTTATTTGATAAAACATAAAAGTGAAGCATTTGACATATTTAAGACATACAAGAATGAGGTTGAAAAATATCTAGGAAAGAAAATTAAAATTTTAAGGAATGATAGAGGTGGTAAATACTTTTCCAATGATTTTAAATTGTTTTGTGAATAACATGGAATTATTCATCAATGTTCTGCATCTAAGACACCCGAACAAAACAGCTTGGCTGAAAGAAAAAATAGAACATTTGTAGAAATGATAAATGCCATGCTTATTCATGCGAAGTTGCCATTTAACTTGTGGGGTAAAGCTTTATTAAGTGCATGTAGAATACTTAATAGGATTCTTTCAAAATATACTAAGGTTTCTCCTTATGAATTGTGGAAATGAAGAAAACCAAACATTGGATACTTCAAAGTGTGAGGATGTCTTGCCTATTACAAGAACACGAATCATAATATGACTAAATTGGGTCCAAGAGGCATTAAATGTGCCTTTGTTGGGTATGAAAACAATAGCAAATCTTATAGATTACTAAATTTGAAGTCCAATGTGATTATCGAATCCAACGAGGTGGAGTTCTTTGAGGATTCGTTATCTTCGGATAATGAATTGAGGGAACATCCTGAAAATATCCCTAGCTCAAGTGGAACACATGATGAAATATCTTCTAAGGATGTTGATGAATCTAGTGAACCACGAAGAATCAAGAGAACTCGAGTTGAGAAGTCTTTGGGATCGGATGAAATCGATTCTCAACTCATCTCCTTTTACTTAGTAGAGAGAAATGAGTTGAATGTTGTGAGAACAATTCTTTCTGTTCTACAAGTAGAAACCGACCCTAAGACTTATAAATAAGCTATGAATTTTCGTGATAGCACCTTTTGGAAAGATGCAGTTAAGGACGAAATGGATTCGATAATGTCCAAAAATACTTGGGAACTTGTTGATTTACCACCGGGACCCAAGCCTATTGGATGCAAATGTGTATTTAGGAGAAAATACAATGTTGATGGATCCTTAAATACCTTCAAGGCTAGATTAATAGCTAAAGGATATCGACAAAAGGAAGGAATCGACTATTTCGATACTTATGCACCGGTAGCTAGAATAACATCGATTAGGATATTATTTGCCTTGGTTTCAATATATGACTTGCATGTTCATCAAATGATTTCAAGACGGCATTCCTAAACGGAGATCTCAATTAGGAGGTCTATATAGAACAACCTGAAGGGTTTGCCCTACCTGGAAATGAACATAAAGTGTAAAAGTTTGTAAAATCTTTATATGGTCTGAAGCAAGCACCAAAGAAATGGCATGAGAAGTTTGACTTAGCAATAATATCATCCGGGTTTAAATATAATAGCGTTGATAAATGTTTATATTCTAAAGTTTGTGATGATTATGTGATATTTATATACTTGTATGTTGACGACATGCTGATTATGAGTAATCACATGGACGGAATAGAAGAAACAAAAAGTTTTCTTTTTTCCACATTCAAAATGAAGGATCTTGGACAAGTGGATACCATTTTAGGTATCAAAGTCACAAAGACTAGTGGGGGTTACTATTTAAGTCAATCACATTATATTGAGAATGTGATAAATATGTTCAAACATTTGAACATAAATGAATGTAGTACCCCGATTGATCCAAGTTCAAAATTAATAAAGAATGATGGAGGGGCGATTGCTCAATTGGAATATGCAAGTGTTATAGAGAGTTTTATGTATGCTGTTCAATGCACAAGACCGAATATGGCTTATACAATAAGTAAATTTAGTAAGTTCACTAGCAATTCGAGTAATGATCATTGGAAGGCTATTGTGAGAGTTTTTGGATACTTAAAGAAAATCAAGAACTTGGGTCTACAATATACTAAATTCTCGGCGATATTGGAAGGATTTACTGATACTAGTTGGATATCTAGCACGGGTGAAAGCAAATTCACGTCGAGTTGGGTGTTCACTCTAGGAGGAGGTGATATTTCTTGAAAATCAAAGAAACAAACGTGCACAACACACTCGACCATGAAATCTGAATTTGTAGCACTATCGGATACTGGGAAAGAGGCTAAGTGAGTTAAGGATCTCTTCTATGAGATATCTTTGAGATCGAAGAATATTTCTTCAATACCTATAATGTGTGATAGTCAAGTCACATTAGCAAAAACATACAATAAAGTATATAATGGAAAGTCTAGACATATGAGTTTAAGACATGACTACCTAAGGAAGTTAATCAAAAATGGAATAATTTCCCTAAATTATGTAAGGTCAATTGAGAATTTAGCGGATCTGTTAACTAAAGCACTAAATAGAGATTTAGTGGCGTCTACTTCGAGTAGGATGGGGTTGAAACTCCTTAATTAAAAAAGTCCACCAATGACGGCAACCCTACCTGTCATTACTCAAAAGGTAATTCATGGGTTCAAAGGGTAACAATAAGTCATTTGATATGTGGATAATTGCAGTATTATTTAAATCCACAATGACCCTATCCTAATTAAATAATGTTGGTTGTTACCGATGTGAGGGTTGAGCTTAAAGGTCTTAATGAAGTTCAGTGCTAAAACATAAGTACCTCTAAAAGTAACAAAGGTACTGGAAGAACTTCACCTAGACTAACTTCGAGATGGTGTCGCCTCAATAGAAAGTTGGAGTTCCTCTCTTCAAAGTTTATTGAATAGAATGAACGCAAGGCCATAAAAGCGCTAAGCGAGTTGAGGAACTTGAGAGCACGTGATACTTATGTGTGTGTTCTTACCGGTATTGTCACAAGGAATAATTGGTTCGAAGCTTCCATACTACCTCTAATTTCGACTTTACTTTGTTGGAATTACACTATGGTTAGATTCAAATCGAAAGATATCTAATCCTTATGCATAAGTGTCGTCTTTTTGAATATGCGATCATATTGATTTTGAATAAGTGGGAATTGTTGAATATTTGTTTAAAATCAATGGAATAATAATGGACTTATTGTTGGGCTCAATTGTGGAATTGGTTGAATCAAAAGAAATTGAAAAATGCAATATTTGATTTTTTTTGCGCATAGGCTTAATTTTGTGCGTACGCGAGATGTGTTTTGACAAAATCAGAATTAAATTTTGCTTCTACTATACGTATGCACGGTTTATACTATGCGTACGTATATTGTTAAAAAAAAAAATAGCCGTTGGCTAATTTTTCAATTCGAAATTTGGGAGCCGTTTTACATTAAAAGTTGCTACTTTTCATTTTGTTTTGGCACCATTTCCTGACACATTGATTGAGGCCTATAAATAGGTGATGAATGATCAATACAAACATTATTAGAATCATTGAAAATATCTTGAAATCCATATATCATTTCATATTGAATCAAACTATTGATTTACATTTATATTCAAGATCTTCCTTTATATTCTTAAAGTTTTGGAGGATTGTACTTGTGCTTTGGTGTTAAATCCTTTACAAGGTTTGATATAATCCTACAAACCGTTTGCCAAAATCCTTAAGCATTTTATTCAATCTCGAGAGAGGGCAAATATAATTTGAGGACAACGATCGCATGTTCAAGTCTCAAATTCGTTCTTGACGTATTTCGTGATTTTTATTCATTTTATTTCTATAATTTTGTTGTTATTTCTTCTCCAACCCCTTATTTTCGAACAATTGTCCTGTGAATGATTCCCTGTAGGCAAATAATTGTTCGAAACTAATGGAAGACATTGACAAAATTTGTAACTTAATTAATGTAAAAGATTGTTGTCAGTGCGTGGACTTGAGTGCCATGCTACTGAATAAAGAGTAACAGGAATGGACATTTTCCAAATGACAGACGACTTTAGTTTCATGTTAGAAATGGAATACAGATCAGAAATCAGCAGAGTGCAAAGAGATCGATACAAATTCACTTGTTTCATTTTTCTTTCTTCAATCCAAGAAAGAAAAACAAGGCAAGAAATTGAAGTACACGAAAGTCGAACATTTTCTAGAATTACTTTGCTCATCTTCCTTCCGGGTGCAAAGGGAAGAGTTTCAGGGTCCTATCTTCTTCGTCTTCTGTACAATATTTCTTGTCCTCTTCTACGCCTTCAAATGTCCATGTCCTGCACTTTCTCTTATGCGGACTGTCTTCGTCCTTCACATCGTCCCCCTACAAGAATTTTCACTGTTAATTTTTTGATGTATTTTTTCATAGAAATTTGGACAGGAAATTAAATTACCTTAGTGTCAGATAGTAATAGAGAAGTGTTAAGTATGGAAGAAGGTGGTGTTCTTGGACTATGGCTATTAAGACCTAGACTATTACGCTTTTGCTTCTGTCTCTCTCTGGCTTTGTGGTTCTGGAACCAGTAAAACACGTTTTTCCCTTCTATTTTGCCATACTTTCCTAACTGAGCAGTGATTTGCTCGATTTGTTGGGCGTTTGGAGTTCGCATTCCTCCTCTATACAACATTTCAAGTATCCCTATCTGTTCTTGGGTCGGATTCCACCTCGTCCCTCCAGGATGTGTCTCCACCTACATTTATAACAATCACCGAATGGTTAAATCGACTCAACTTGACAAATTGATCATGACCATTATTGTATGACGTCACAGAGTGTTGCATTTGCATGGACAAGTAAATACCTGAGCCGATTCTTTCTTGTGGTATTCCGAGGATCCAATCTTGATCGGCCCACTTTCGGGTCTAATGAAGCTCTTGAGGTCGAAGATGGGGACAGTACTGTCGGAGTTGGTGGTGGTGGTGGGGGCAGCGGCAACGAGTTGCTTAGGAGCAAGCGGGCGAAATCGCTTACAGCCAAGTGTAAGAGAGGGTGGCTCGTGCATATGTTGATCCCAGAATCCATGTGCAAACTGATGAACCTTCATGCTGCCTTCAATTCCCATGGATGGCATTTGATGCCTAATTAGAGCGGTGGTTATATAGAAGAAAGCTAAGGGATAAAGAATTAGTGGGAAATGATCAGTTGGTGTCCAATATTAACCAAGACGAAATGATGAGGTGCGGTTGACTTGAGATTTCCATGTTTGAAAAGAGAATTGAAAAAGTTGCTGCTCTCTCTATAGGGAATGATATGATGTGCAAATCTAGGATAAAAATGCAAAATATATCCCCTCAAACTTCCTAAAATAATCCTTGTTTTTTAAAAGTAAATATACTCGAAACTTTTTTATACAGTTAAAATTTTATTAGATCATGTACTACTTTTCTGTGATCGAAGGCGAATGCAATATCATTACTTGAAAGGTGTATGTGAGTACTTGAGACCTAATTTGATATGGGATTTGTTTCTCGACGGTGCTATGATTATCATAACAACTGGACTGAGCCATAAAAGGAAATGACAATAAGAGGTTGCTTGCTATTAGTTTCTACATCGTATTTTGACCAAGCAAAAGTATAAAGGCAATTCACTTAGATGACCAATCAAGAAATCTTACTTATGAAGCATCAAGTTGAACCCATATACATTACCTATATAATCTATACTCAATTTTGTTTAATTTTACAAATTTATCGTGCTGATGTTGTTTAGTTTAAATTAAGATATCGTTGTAATTATAATTACCAAAAAAATAGAAGCGACTTATTTTCGAAAAGCTATAAGTAATTGATTATGTGCGTGTGGGTGTAAAAATGAGTGTTCAAGCGTGTGGTGGGTGGTCTAATCGGTTATAATTTCTTGCTTTCATGATAAGGGTTAATGCTTTTCGGTGGCCTCTTTACTCAACTTTATCAATGTAAAGTGAAGAGAGGGAGAGAATGTGAAAAAGATTCCTCCAATCCCAATACTTGAAAATGCAAACTCTTTACTTTTCAAGATACGGATATGAGAAGAATCGAATGCCGTCTTTTTTCTGTTGAAAAATATAAAAATACTATTCTTTTCGTAATATATATCTCTCTTTTGCAACTGTTTGCTCCAATTTCCCAAATAATATAAAACCACAAACGTGCTTTTCATCCCATTTTCGTATCACAATATTTTGCATGATTTGAGATATAAGTGCTTCACATCCACGTTTGAATATATTAGATAAATTATAATATATACACAAGTTTAAAAGCCTGTTTCTAAGACAAAGAAACTGTTTTTTTTAATATATTTGAATAATTTTCTGAAAATAATTTGCCTAATTAGAAGATATTTTGGAGAAAATTAATCTCATATGACATCGTCAAAAGTTCATGAAGCAGAAGTTTGGTTGTAACTAATTGAGTTGAAAGGCGAACTTAACGATCGTAGGTTGGTCACATGCCAGTCAAACGATTTTTTCATATGCTAACAATAAACATCAATTATCTGTCAAATAAATTTGGCTGTATGGAGAAAAGGCAAGGATTGTGGTGGTGGTAATCACCTTTTGGGGGCAAAATTCGGATACTTTGTCGTTATTCTATGTTTGTCAAGACTACTGTGGGAAATAAATAGAGGTACAATTTGTTAATAACACAGTCAAAATACATGTTGCCATTCCACCAGATCAATCATTAAATACTATACTGATTTGATCCTCCAAAATGTGATGGAAAACACTAGTTTAAATTCTGAAACTTTTGCTGACTTTGGCAAAAACTGGATGCTTATGATCCTGTCTTACTGTAATCAATTTGTCTAAAAATATACGGACCCAGATTTTCTCCCCACATTGTGTTAAGTTCCTTCAAGAGGTTTGGTGCTAACAACTAGTTAGCAAGAAAGAATAGGCTAATAGACCTTTGACAAGTGTAATTACATGGAGGAGATTTGGAGAACGGATTGGTTTCACAATTGTGAAGGTGTACACTTTAGTGGAGAGTGTATATATCACGTGATATATGACAATAAGAAGTATGTCGAGGATGCATGAAATTTAAAGTGGGAGCTATATAGCAATTAGATTGATTAACTTTATCTTTGTGTCTTTTATTGACTACTAGAGGTCACGTTATATATATGCATGTCTTCAACATTTTATAATTTCTTCTCCACTTTTCTTTGCAAATATTGACGAAAGAGAAAAGATTTTATCTAAAAAATTAAGTATCACCAAAATAAACATTACAATAGCTCTGATTGCCTCGGTAGGTTGGGACTCATAGTCCATAGTGATTTCGAATATCAAGTTAGTATAGCGATAACGGGACAATGAAATGAGAGAAAATGTGACGGAGAAGAAAAAACGAAAAAGAAAAAACTAGTCTATATGACTGCAGCTGGAAAAAGAATCCAATTCAAAATAGAATCAATTTTTCATGCATGAAGACCCATTGTTTTAGGCTACCAATGGGTATGGGCATAATTAATGTTGAAGGAAACAAGGAATTTGTTGGAGAGAGAGAGTCGAAAGAGAGATTTTTCAAGCATCTTGCTATGATTTTAGTATGCAGTTCCTTTTTGTCAGCTCTCTCGGGAGCTTCATAAAGGTCGGGGTCCTCGAGCTGTGATCTCGGGGCATCGAGCTTAGATGCTTCAACAATACTTTGGTCTCGGTCTTCAGTTCTCAAGCTTTGACATTCAAGTATTTTGTTAATTTTCGAGTTAATCTCTTTTCAATTTAGATATTATAAACTATCGATATATATGCTTATCATACCAAGATGCCGGCACAATTTTGTACAGAAAATCCTACCAAGTGTTATCGATAAAAATCATTGAAATGTGGGCATGGAAATGTACTGTAGCATTTGAAAGTACAATAAATATAATTTGGGTTTTTTCTTTTCTTTTATAATATTATTTACTATTACAGCTCAATTTAAAAAATATATTTTGATATAATAATGGATTTAGGATTTTCTTTTAAGCTTGATGGTTAGTTACATGCATGTTGAACTAGAATAGATCAAGAATCTTGCATAACAATAAAAGACTTGTGATGCCCTCCAGGGCACATCCAAGTTGGTGGAACAATCACTATGGCGGGCTTGCAACCTCAACGTGAAGAGTTCGATTCCTGATTAACGCAGTGAGGAGGATTCTCTTGAGGTCAGGAGTATAAACCAAGTGGGAATCTGGGAGCCAACAAGGACATAACCTGCGATTTAACTCCTCGAGTCACTGAGGGGCCGGTGGCTAGAGGTCCAGGATTTAGTTTGGCGAAATTGGAATACTTGGGTATCAAACAAAATAAAAATAAATAAAAGACTTGTGAGTCTTGAATAACGATAAAAGACATTCAGATTAGGTATAGTAAGTTATTGAGGCAACATGAGTTGATTAACAAGAGTTAGGTGGGGCTCTTGTAGAAGAAAATGTTAAAGTTTCTAGGATTTTTCCTGAG